TGGAGGTGGGAGGAATTAGGGCAGATGTGTGTGCTGAACAGTAGGCTTTAATAAAGAGTAAGACATCAACGATGCAGGCCGGGCGCGGTGGCTCGCGCCTGTAATCCCAGCACTTTGGGAGGCTGAGGTGGGCAGATCACGAGGTCAGGAGATCGAGATCATCCTGGCCAACATGGTGAAACCCTGTCTCTACTAAAATACAAAAAATTAGCCAGGCGTGGTAGTGTGTGCCTGTAATCCCAGCTACTCAGGAGGCTGAGGCAGCAGAATCACTTGAACCCGGGAGGCGGAGGTTGCAGGGAGCTGAGATCGTGCCACTGCACTCCAGCTTGGTGACAGAGCGAGACTCCATCTCAAAAAAGAAAAAAGAGAAATCAGTGATGCAGAAGAGAGGAGAGAGAATGGCAGGAAAGGAGGCCCTGAGCGTGGAAGAGGAGTGGGGTTGGGGCCCACGTGGGAGGGGTGGTGTTGACAAAAGCAGGGATTTGACATCCATTGCAGCTGAAGAGGGGGCGTGGAATTTGGTCCAGATGCACGCGGGTTAAGGAGTGGAGTGTTTCTGGCCTGTGGCTTCTGCCTTCTCAATGGAGTGAGCATGGGAGCATCAGCTCCAGGGGAGTTGCCGGAGCCCGGGCACAGGGGCTTCAGGAGAGAGGAGAAAGCGTGTGACAAGAATTTGGGAGGTCAGAAAGAAAATGCCCAGGGTGGTACTTTAGGATTTCTGGGCACTGTTCATATTTGTAGCTATAAATAAAAAAATAATACCAGTTGACCAGGTGCGGTGGCTCATGCCTATAATCCCAAAACTCTGGGAAGTTGAGGCAGGCGGATCACTTGAGCCTAGGAGTTGAAGACCAGCCTGAGAACATGGTGAGACCCTGTCTCTACTAAAAATACAAAAAACCAGCCAAGCATGGTAGTGCACCTGTCGTCCCCGCTACTCAGGAGGCTGAGGTGGGAGGATCAACTGAGCCCCAGAGGTCGAGGCTGCACTGTGTCACGATCGCACCACTGCACCCCAGCCTGCACGACAGAGCGAGACCATGTCTCAAAAATAATAGCGATAATAATACCAGTTAGATGTCTATGGATTCCTGTCCAACTGCATCCAGCTCTTTGGCTGCCAGCTCTGAGTTGGTCTGGAGCTTTGCCAGGTGAGTCTGTGGAGGGGTAGAGGAGTGAGGGCGTAGAGGGTGTTTGCATGGGAGTGTTGAGGGAGACTTGAGAGTGTTGGGGTGGAATCTCAGCTGGGAGAGAGATGAAAGAACACAGGCGTCACTAGGAGCGAGAATGTGGAAGCCCCAGGTTTGGAGGACTCGGGTCAGGTGAGTTGCAGGAGGGGCTGGGTGCTGAAGTCAGAGGACTGGGAGGCTGGGAGGTGCGGGCGGAATGGCACACGTGAAGTCGAGAATGCAGAGCTGATGTGGTTATAGCTCAAAGTCAAGGGTTGACCCTGGGCGGGAGATGGCTCTTACAAGAATGCTGCCTTCTGGAGGCAGAGGGGACGGAAGAACACCCCGAGTGTCTGTATGTCCAAGCGGGATGACGAGGGCTTCCCTCTTGACATTCATCTCAGCCTGGAGCCAGGTGGACATCTCTCTAGCTGCCAGGACTGTCACTGCCAGCTGAGGTGACAGTCATCGAAGTGAGGATATCCCCACTTAGTGCAACTCCAGCCAGAAGTTCCAATCATAGGAAGTGACACATCGAATTTATGCACAGCCTTCTCAGAGAGGTTTGCTGCCTAAGCCAACAGCAGAAATCACTGGAACAAGTAATCTGGCACAGGGAGGGGTGGACTCCCTTGGCAGGGCCCACTGGCCACCCTCCCCACCAGCATCAATCCCCTGCCCCCTGGGCACACCTCACACTCACACTCACACTCATTCCCTTCCCCTCCTGCAGCCACAGTTGGCTTCCCTTACCTGGGTACTTGATGTTGGCCAGATGAGAAATGAAGCTGCTGTAGTAAGTGTTTTCAGGGTAATCCTTCACCTGCAACGAAGCGCAGAGCACTGAGCGTAAGTGAAGAAGAGGCCCCAGCACCATCTCTACTCATCCAGCCGCTCAGCTTTCTAGCTGATTGGGCCGAGCCTAGAGAGTAAGGAGAGGCAGCCTGTGCCCTGTTGTGTTTTGGCAGAGACAGTCTGATTGTTCTTTGCTACCAACCACACAGGTTCAGGAGTCCCTCCAGAAAGGCACTATCTTAAGTATTTTGGCAGCTTCCAGGGAAAGAAGCTTCTCAGTCATTGGTGATGCCCTCAGAAATGGCCAACACTTACTCTAAAAAAGTCCCCTGCAAGCTTGTTTTT